CATTCTGAAAATCTACCGGAAAGTTTTTCTAGCTTGCTCCTTCATAAAGATATTCGTCATTGAAGTTTGTACTTTTTTGAAGAATTATTTTATAAAAACGTCAATTTTGCGATTTAGTATTCTCTGGTGTTGGGCCATGCCTTGGGTTGTGGAGCTCAGTTCTGCTTTCTATAGGTATAAATTGTGCATTAGGCTAGTTTTAAAGTTGAAAATCGAAAAGTTGCACACGTGGGGACACTCCCAAATTGATAGAAAATTGCTAAAATCACTGAAAATTGCTGTTTTCGTCATTTTCTGTCAACTTTAGAGTGCCGTTGTGATTACAGCTCTTCTTGAAATACTTTTAAACTTTGCATGCTTATCAAGCTATATATAAAACAATTACATGCAAAAATTTACGGCGATTCAATTTTGGATGCGCACGCAACGTCCGCTCAAAGTTTGCACGTGCGAAAGGTGAGAATTTTGCTCATTCGTGATTTCCAACAAATTCTGCTTTGCCACGACGGTTTGATGTAATTATATATGAATTTAATGCCAACTTGAATGAGTATTAAGTGGCATATTCAGTCAGTGATCGACCGATATGCTTACCTAAACACAAGGAGATGTTTTTAAAGGAAAAATTTCGAAATCGTTGAAACTTCCTCCTTATTAATGAAGATATCAGTTTAAATTTCGACTTTATAAAGTACCCTGACATTATAATCAAAAAGAGATGATATTTTACCAAAACCCATAATCATGGGTAGAGTGGACCGCTGCCAGTGTCTCTCTTTCCCAAACAAAAGGAAATGATATTAATTTGATTGACCGTTCTCAAATGCAAAATGATACCGAGAATGAAATCGGTCGCTCGCTTTTCCCATTCATTTACAATTGTAATAGATTAAGAAGAACTACCCGAAGGCAGCTGTACTCGGCAATAAAGATTCAATAAACTTCAGCTAATTCAATAAGTAATAACTACCACCCTTACCCCGAAATACTAGGTATCGACCCGAACGCAACCCAAAGAGATTTTTACAGAATCTGATTGATGTAATCAATCGAAACTTATTACAATTCGTAAGCCGTGAATGAATGGGAAAAGCGAGCGACCGATTTCATTCTCGGTATCATTTTGCATTTGAGAACGGTCAATCAAATTAATATCATTTCCTTTTGTTTGGGAAAGAGAGACACTGGCAGCGGTCCACTCTACCCATGATTATGGGTTTTGGTAAAATACAGATATCACAGTGCTGGCAAGCACGAGCGGTGTCTTTATTGGGGGTATACTATGTACCCCCTTTACTATTCTATCCCCTTAACTATTATACCCCCTTTACACCCCCTTTGGTACACGTCGGAAGCCTCTTTCGTGCACGCGAAGCGTGCACTCCGGCCGGAGGCGGCGGCCGAAGGCCGACGCCTCCGGCAGGAGTTTTTCAGGCATTAAGACTCATCGGAAGTCGTTCAGCAGATTTATTTTTAGTTCAAAATATTCTAATTTGATGTCAAAGATGTCAGAAATAAAAAATAGTTATGTTAAGATTTTTAAAAAATTTGCATAAAATACTCGCCAGCACTGTTATACGAAATTCGGTAAAAAACCCGAAATCGCCATATTCAGGTGCCTTAAAAACCATGTTAAAATTGAGTTAGAGATCTGAAACTTTGCAGAGCGTCTAGACGTTGACCTAATCGACTGTAAAAAAAGTTTTAAGTTTCAGGAGCATCGGGAAATTGGTTTTCTAGAACCCCTGTTTTACGACAGATTGTCGTGATATATACATACATATATATATACCTATGTAATTCCCTCATTATTAAGGCCTTGGTGGCCCAGTGGCGCGGCGTTGGGCCAGTAATCGCAAGGTTGCTGGTTCAATACCCGCCATCGGCAAAACCAACCTTGATGATTTGAGCCATACTGATGAGTCCTAATAGGACGAAACACTGTGTCTATGGATATATATATATACATATATATATTCAGGGATAGACGCTTTGCCAGTGAATTATAGCCTGTATTTAAGTGTCCGTAGATTCTAAAGTATAAAAGATACAGCCATTTCGGACCACAGGTCTTGAAGATAATTGTTTAGACTTTAGTTTATATTATATGAAAAAGTAATTTAACGTCATCATTACCACTTGATGACGTCATCAAGTTAACCATTTAAAAAACCTGTTTTTTTACAAAGTAATCACTTTTAAAATCGATTTTACGCCATTAAAGAGTAATTTTATTCAAAATTTGAGGGCATATTGAAGTTAGATAATTGTTTAAGTATTCTGAAAATCTACCGGAAAGTTTCCCTACCTTGCTCCTTCATAAATATATTTGCCATTGAAGTTAGTGCTTTTTTGAAGAATTATTTTATAAAAACTTCAATTTTGCGATTTAGTATTCTCTGGTGTTGGGCTATCCCTTGGATTGTGGAGCTCAGTTCTGCTTTTTATAGGTATAAATTGTGCATTAGGCTAGTTTTAAAGTTAAAAATCGAAAAGATGCACACGTGGGGACACGCCCAAATTGATTAAAAATTGCTAAAATCACTGAAAATTGCTGTTTTTACCATTTTCTGTAAACTTTGGTGTGCCGTTGTGATTACAGTTCTTCTTGAAATACTTTGAAACTTTGCATGCTTATCAAACTATATATAAAACACCAACACACAAAAATTTACGGCGATTCAATATTGGATGCGCACGCAACGTCCGCTCATAGTTTGCACGTGCGAAAGGTGATAATTTTGCTCATTCGTGATTTCGAACAAATTCTGCTTTACCACGACAGTTCAATGTCATTATATATAAATTTAATGCCAACTTGAATGAGTATAAAGTGGCAAATTCAGTCAGTGATCGACCGATATGCTTACCCAAACACAAGGAAATGTTTTCAAAGGAAAAATTTCGAAATCGTTGAAACTTCCTCCTTATTAATGAAGATATCAGTTTATACATTATATTTCGACTTTATGAAGTACCCTGACATTAATCAAAAAGAGATGATATTTGACCAAAACCCATAATCATGGGTAGAGTGGACCGCTGCCAGTATCTCTCTTTCCCAAACAAAAGGAAATGATATTAATTTGATTGACCGTTTTCAAATGCAAAATGATACCGAGAATGAAATCGGTCGCTCGCTTTTCCCATTCATTTACAATTACAAATGTAATAGATTAAGAAGAACTACCATACCCGAAGATAGCTGTACTCGGCAATAAAGATTCAATTAACTTCAGCTAATTCACTAACTACCACCCTTATCCCGAAATACTAGGTAACGACCCGAACGCAACCCAAATAGATTATTACAGCATACAGTGATCGATGTAATTTATCGAAACCTATTACAATTCGCATAACTATAAGCCGTGAATGAATGGGAAAAGCGAGCGACCGATTTCATTCTCGGTATCATTTTGCATTTGAAAACGGTCAATCAAATTAATATCATTTCCTTTTGTTTGGGAAAGAGAGATACTGGCAGCGGTCCACTCTACCCATGATTATGGGTTTTGGTCAAATTGATATATATGTATATAGCTTCACGACAATCTGTTGTAAAACAGGGGTTCCAGAAAACCCATTTCCTGATACTCCTGAAACATGAAGAAAATTATACAGTCGATTTGGACGAGGTCTAGACGCCCTGCAAAGTTTCAGATCTCTAACTCAATTTTAACATGGTTTTTAAGGCACCTGAATATGGCGATTTTGGGTTTTTTACCTAATTTCGTATAACATGCTGACGCGTATTTTGCGCAAATTTCTTAAAATCCTTTACATAACTATTTCTTATTCCTAGCTTACACATCGCTTCCTGTTAATAGAAACTCCGTGACAGAAGAATTTGTGATATGTTAATCAATGGCAGGTATGCCTTTATTCTTTAGCTAAAATACATTTCGATTGATCGCAGTATTTTTAATCAATAGATCATATCAGATAGCAAGTACTTTGATTTTTATAATGGTGGTCATGACTTTGAAATTGATGATTCCATAAATGAAAGCTGTAATTTATCATGTTATTTGGCTCCAAGATAATAACCGACTTTGAGAAAATAAAGATTACCCAGAATTCTAATATGAACAATTACAGATGTAAAATAAACAAACGATACATTTTGAAAGATTAGGTAGCGGATAGGAAATAGAGATAAAAGGCGGGGACTGCTCGTATGTGTTTTACTGGTTTGACCAATACGAGGTCGCGTATACAGTCACGTGGTCTCTCTCCGCTAATAGGGAGCTCTATGGAATTAAACTGGAAATTAAACTGGAATTAAACTTAAATAGTCAGAGGGAACACTAACGAACCCATCGTGACAATACATCAATGAAGTAAATAAGATAATTATTAAAAAATCATAAATAAGACCCAAAACACGTTAAAAAAAATTAACTATACTACAATCTGTACGAAAAAGAAACAAGATCAAATATAATAATTTAACCGGATTAAAGTGGATAATGCACCATCTATGTGGTGTGATTGGTCAATCCGCTGGCGAGTAAACTCTCCGGACAGAGTGTTGCCTGATATGGTCCGTGTGCTCAGTTCTTTTTTATCAGTTGACTGTTACTACATTACAGTAATGATTTCATCATTTTGTCGGAGAGCTTACACTTACGGTTATAATTATTAGCTTATATTTTCTGATTTTGCTGCTTAAGTTTAAGCTTCTAAATCTAACGACTTCACAATTTTCAGCAAATTCACGAAGTGTTTATCATAGATTGTCGTGTAGAATTGATATTTAATTCTGTTTTTGTACTTAACATTTATCAAATTAATTTGGCAATTGCGTCTCGTCATTCGTCATTTTCTTTATTAGTCATTCATATGTAAAGGTAAGATTTTTTTGTTTTCCGACTAGGTTGTTTAGACCTCAACCTAGACATTATGCTGAATCTGGTCAACCCTAAATTATACGAAACATCATGATTTAAAACACTTTTATTTCACTGAAAGACAGATAAAACGAATGATAACACATTCTATAGTGGATAGTAATTTCATAGTAATTAGCATTATATAAATAACTACAATAACGAATAAGTTTGGTTAGTGGGTGAAATTATTTGCAAAATGACGCTCAATTTTTAGCTTAATATGTTTGTATTGTTATCAGCACAGTGGCGCAATCGGTTAAGCATAAGCCTTATCTCCTTATCTGTCTGTCTAGCCCGGACGTAGCGAGATCGAGTCCCGGCTTGGTCTCACAGTTTTCAAAAATCGGTAATTAGTTCGTAAAAGTTCACTCATTGTTGAGCTATCACGTATTCAAGGCTTATGTATACATGTTTCATAACAATAGAACTAGTCACCCACTAACGTTATTACACAGTAACATCATATCTAATATCGTATAATGCGAGCGTAGTTACTCAGATTATGTAACAAATGTAACATGTAAGGTGATTCGTCTAATGTTTCACCCTCCTCTGGGAATATAACAACAGAGCAGTGTACACGTGCTCTTGATAACGCTAAGTAAAGTGTAGTCAGGTCCTTCTCCTCACTACCCCACACTTTACACAGTACTATTACAGCAGGCCACTCACTAGAGGCACAATACCTACTGTGACACACTGCAATCTTACTAGCAGTGTCATTACATCTCATATTAACACTGTCCTCAACTAGTGGTACTACACTACTAGTGTAATTAGTATGTACTATACCTATATCAGAATATTCTAATTCATGTGTAGCACACAATCTATCTAAATCAATATTAATAACACGTACAATACTATCAACATTACGATTATTAAAAACATGTATAACAGGCAATGTACCGTGTATAAAGTGTCCTGGTGATTGTGAAGGTAAAATAATATCTAAAATATCTGATTTAAGAGAACATAACTTAACGAATTGATCTCTGATTACAGATAAAATATTCGATAAATCATGTGTATTTCTCAAGTTACTAGATAAAGTAGTCCTCTGATGAGGTGCTAATGTATCAGTAATTACATTAGCTACTATTGAAATGAGATCTGTGTCTGTTAGCGCCCAAACCTGGACAATATCATATGCTATCCACACAATCTTATCTGCTGATAAGTCTTTTAACTTGTTAATCAATAAAGTCCACTTTTCAGCTGTGGTATTATATCTAATTACTGTCTGTATATCATCAACAAACAAATTATAACCACTTAGTACACTGAGTCTATTTGTTAAATATGTGGTATCTTCATAACCTGGTATCTCGACAATAATAACACTACACAAACACTTTGTTATAAGATTAGCTAGTTGTTCTGGAGTGTGATCATCTTCATCTGCGCTTATCAGTTCGATTTTATACTAGCGTTATCTAACGCACTTTGATAATGCTGTGAATTGTTCCCTTCTCCAGTAAACTTAAATACCACAACTTTATTGTTCTTATCAGACTCTAACAGTTGCAGTATTTTACCACACAATATGACAGTTTTGCCCGCCCCTGCGGGACCGTTAATCAACAACAAATTCTCTTTTGACTCAAAAGCATTGTGTTGTTCTACTGTTAGGTTTTCCACATTAGAATTGTTTCTGATAACATCGGGAGCTTTGACAACTGCGGGATTTTGATTACGGTTTTTACCTTTTTTAGGCTCAAAAGTAATGCGACCTTCCTTAAGTTGTTTGTTGACATCCATAATACATCGTCCTAAACTGCACTTGGATTTATCACACGTGTTTCTCTCTGTGGCCCAAATAGCTAACAAAATGTTCCTTACTCTCTCATGGGAATCTGAAGATGAATAATTGGCCAGAGTTACATTTGCTGCCCACCAAGCAGCATCAAGTTCGTTGCGACAAAGGTCCTCTTCAAATATGATAGTTGACAGTTCATCATCACTTAACGGGAGTTCTGTAATCTCACTAAATTTAAACTCATCTTTAAACTGTTTACTAAAATTAGGATAGGCAGTAAACTGAAGAATTTTTGCATCCTTATCCATACACTTGATCAGTTCCACAATCTTGTTTCTTTGTTTGACTGATTTCTGGAACGTTCCGATTAATGCTTTCAACTGCTGGTCTCTGTTACACTGAGGTTGCCAGTCCTCGCCAATTGAACACAGGTGGAAGTCTGGTTCACATTCCAAAACCTCTCCAACATTATCCATGTTCTTTACCTCGATGATAATGAAACTGTCCGCACAAATGATGAGAAAGTCACTTTCCCCCTCCTGATTTTCTGCATTTTTGCCTTTACAATTAGAACATCCTTTTCGGATATGACTTTTACCTGCACACAAACGATATTGATGATGCGTGTATTTGAAACTGTGAAGAACAATGAAGTTTCCATCTACCTCTTCCAAAGCCCTATACACCTTAACTTCAGTCTCGTAGTCTAATTGATGTCTTCTGTCATCTGTAAAGCTGGGACCGGGCTGATCTTCATCTGGATATACATCAATGTAGGTCTGCTCCGGTGCTCTTGGAAGCATTGTGGGCAGGTTTTCAGATGTTGAGCAATATTCTTCGTATATTTGTTTTCCATTTTCCAAATAGTTATCCATTGTTGATCAATTGATATCTCTGAAATGAAATCAGCTGTAAGGGGATTGATGCAGATTGAAAGATCCAACATTCCAGGATCAACATAGGTTCTTATTGACATACGTTGCATGCCACTTTTCGCGCGTATCAAGGTTCTTATATTATCACACAGCTCTCGTGGTACATAATTATCAAATTTCAATTAATATTTTTAATGACTTACTTGTTCAGTGGTCGTTCAGTGGTCGTTTTGCGTTTAGTGCCTTGAATTGAATAAAGGGTCCGAGGTTTGTTTCAGTGGTGTGTTTCCTTATTGGCCTATAAAACAGTAGTTATATAACTGTGTAACTATTGCGTCAAAAGCCAGATATTTTCGAATTATAATATATTAGGAGCAGCGTCAAATAATAAGAGCTGATAAAATTTGGGCAAGTTTCCATAAACGATATTTTATGATCGTCGCCGATAATCGCTTATTGAGCGCTTTTTCGGCGCTTTTTTTTAAAAAACCGTTTACAATCGCTTTTTTTACGATTATAAACGGTTCAAAAAAAATGCGCTTATAATCGACTATAATTGGTGTCATAATTCAAAAAAGCGCTTTTTTTAATTTAAAAGCGCTTATAAGCGCTTTTAAGCGCTTACTAGCGTCGCTGAGCGATTTGAAAGCGGTTTTCCAGTAGGATTGGCGCCAAAAACGGGTGGATAAGCGGTTGGCCGGATAAGCGATTCGTAGGCGCTTTTTTGAACCATTTATAAGCGATTATAAATGCTTATAATTGGGGTGCAATTTAGCTGTTTGTAAAGCGCAAATAAAGCGCTTATAAGCGCTTTTAAAATTGAGTCAGGAAAACGCTATATTACATCTTATAACCGCTTATAATCGATTATAAGCGTTTTTTTAGAAATCGCTTATAACGGCTAATTCATCGCTATTTCACCGCTTTTACCGCTTTTCCTATCATCCATGGCCAGGTGAGCAGGAATTAAAAAGCGCTTATAAGCGCTTTTTCGATGCTGCCCCTAGCCTGGTCGGAACGGGGAAGTGCCCGGAATTTAAAAGCGCTTATAAGCGATTTCTCAATTCCCCTTAACCTGGTTGGAACTTTCATGTGCTTTTCTGAGCAACCTGGGGTGCACCGGCAGAGTCAGGATTTAAAAGCGCTTATAGGCGCTTATGATCGCTTTTCTACCGCTTTTTCTATCACCCATGGCCTGGTTGGCAAGAATTATAAAGCGCTTATAAGCGTTTTTTCAATGCTGCCCCTAACCTGTTCGGAACAGGGGAGTGCCCGGAATTAAAAAGCGCTTATAAGCGCTTTTTCAATGCTGCCACTAACCTGGTCGGAACGGGGGAGTGCCCGGAATTAAAAAGCGCTTATAAGCGATTTCTCAATTCCCCTTAACCTGGTCGGAACTTGCATGTGCTTTTCTGAGCAACCTGGGGTGCACCGGCAGAGTCAGGATTTAAAAGCGCTTATAGGCGCTTATGATCGCTTTTCTACCGCTTTTTCTATCACCCATGGCCTGGTTGGCAAGAATTATAAAGCGCTTATAAGCGTTTTTTCAATGCTGCCCCTAACCTGTTCGGAACAGGGGTGTGCCCGGAATTGAAAGCGCTTATGATCGCTTTTCTACCGCTTTTCCTATCACCCATGGCCTGGTTGGCAAGAATTAGAAAGCGCTTATAAGCGCTTTTTCAATGCTGCCACTAACCTGGTCGGAACGGGGGAGTGCCCGGAATTAAAAAGCGCTCAGAGGCGCTTTTTAAATGCTGCCCCTAACCTGGTCGGAACTGGAAATCAGAGTGCCCGCTTATAAGTGCTTTTCTGAGCAACCTGGGGTACACGGCAGAGTCAGGATTTAAAAGCGCTTATGATCGCTTTTCTACCGCTTTTCCTATCACCCATGGCCTGGTTGGCAAGAATTAGAAAGCGCTTATAAGCGCTTTTTCAATGCTGCCACTAACCTGGTCGGAACGGGGGAGTGCCCGGAATTAAAAAGCGCTCATTAGCGCTTTTTTAATGCTGCGCTTATAAGAGATTTCTCAATTCCCCTTAACCTGGTCAGAACTGGAAATCAGTGTGCCCGCTTATAGTTATAAGTGCTTTTTTGTGCAACCTGGGGTCACCGGCAGAATCAGGATTTAAAGGACCAGTTAACTCAAAAAAAAGTTATCCTCATATTTTGACAGATTGTGACAAATAGCAAACTGAGCAACGAGTCGAAATTCCTAAATCTCTAACTGCTCTCTAACGCGTGTAATTACCGTTTGTATTATTTTGGCGATGACGTCATAAAGTCCCTTGCGCGCACAGAAGAGCTCGTGAGACTGTATTTTACAGGTAAAAATGGACATAATACAATGGTTCTCCCCCAAATAACTCGAAAAGTAAGTGTTTTAGGGTACATGTTGCTTCATAAGTTGTATATAAACATGGCCATTCTGCACAATTTGCACCCATTCAAAAATCTGTAGGGCCTTCATAGCCCAATTTACAAGATACCCATATTTTTGCATGATTTCTGGAACCGGAAATCAGTTTTTCGCCAATAACTGAAAAAGTAAGCACTTTAAGGCATCTGTTTCTTCGTAAGTCATATATAAATATGCTAATTGCGGTTCTTTTGCACCCTGTCTAAAGACTCTATCACGATCCTATCGAAAATGGGCTCAGCACCACGCCCAAAATGGTTTTTGGCAAATTTCTCGAAAAGTAAGGATTTTAGGCCATGTGTTGCTCAGTTACTCCTATATAAACATGCATATGCCGCTTCGTTTCAGCCTATTTAGAAGTCTCTACGACCTTCAGAAACAAAAGGTCGGTTACGTTATTGGGTCAATATCGGCGTGGTCAATATGTCTCCAACCGAAAATCGTTTATTCATACTTTTGGGAAGGTCTTTGCAAAATTTCGTGAGTATACGAAAATTTGCAGGTTCAATTCCATAAATGTCCATAAATGACTGGACTACACAAGTTTAGAGTTAACTTTAGAGAAACTCATAAATCATTATTATCTAAAATTAAGCTGTCAGTGTCCATGATCAACCTATGGCTACAATGTTTTACGTGAAAATTGAAATGTAAAAATCAGGAGTAATATAAAAAGTGTATTTTTAGATTAAAGTGCTATCTCATAGTTTAAGAATTGTATAGATTAACGTTTGTCGTTTAGCCATCTAAGAATCGATCGTGCCGTAATACATATGGCCAAAGAATAATAGGGTCAAAGAATAATAGGGTCTTGGAAATTCTATAGTTGTTCAGTGGGTCGATTGACTGAACACGTTTGCACTTGGTATTTAAATTTACCTGTAGTTTATTTATGGTAAGTACCGATGATCATACAAGTAGGACGATAACTAGGTAAGTCAAATTCAAAACACTCCGCACACTGTACACTCCAATCAGTATTTAGTAGACCGGGTATTTTTCAGTTCCCACGGCACCGTTCTGATAGGAGCTACTTCTACTAATGGTCCCATGAGAACGGCCGTAAAATAGCCAGACTTCTTGTCTCCTGTACTGTCTGGCACGTGTGGATTAAAGTAAGAAATTTCGCTATGCTAAAAATATAATTGCTCTCGGAACTATGTCTTTTAGGACAGCGAACCATTCGACTGCTCGCATTCTTCCGAACAACTGTAATATTATATTACAGAGTTACACTCTGATCAGCTATATTTAATATATAGCACATTATTTTGTGTATTAGTTTCATGGACTGGGGAAAAATAATCGGTACAGTCTCCCTTCGTTTTAATGAAGCAATGAAAACAATCAAAAATTATCACATATGACATAACTAATTGTAATAGCAGAAACTTTCTAACCGTACATTCACCAGCCACTGTTCAAGAACTTATGTCACTGTTTAAAATCCTGACGTGAGCACTGTACATCCAATCAGCTATTCATATAGTTAGGGTGATAGCCAAAACTATAAGGATTTTGGAGAACTAGGGAAATAGTCATAACTCTAAAATTTGAGTGAGTTACACGTGTTTTATTGACGATGATAAACATTTGTGCATTGTATTACGCTATGCCAGCGCGCACTGAGGGACTTTATGACGTCACGCGGCCACAGCTTATTATTGCAATAACACGCGTTACACGTAAGCTAGAGAGTTGGTTCTTTCGGCGATACAATTTTTTACCAGTTTGTCACAGCTGATTTAAATCTTAGCCAAATTGGAGACTACAAATTTTTCAGTTAACTGGTCCTTTAAAAGCGCTTATAGGCGCTTATGATCGCTTTTCTACCGCTTCTACTAAATCGCTCGCCCAAATTTTAAGGAAATTCTTGTGAAAAGGCCCTTTGGGGCATGAAAGTGATCTAATTCTAAATCGGTGTATTTTTGGACGCTGATTCCGAATCACCCCCAGGCTAGTAAAATACGAATTCGATTGTTTAGGGCCCGGGTTAGGGTTATGCTTGTGGAAAGGGTTATGGTTAACTTCGGGGTTATGGTTAGGGTTAGGGTTGGGATTAGGATTTATGTAAAACCGTTTTGTACGGCTGCAAAACCATAAAAACCAAAGTCACGTGAAATTTTTGGGCGAGCGAATCAGTAAAAGCCGAGTTGGACTCCAATATATGGAATAAATATTTTACGAGTGTCACCCGTCAATTCTCGCAATCACATTCAACATTGCGCTTCGCTAGTTTGGTAAAAATTCACCACTAGACTGGGCCTCGCCAAGCTGTGAATTGAAAGATTGACATCGCATTGTGAGTCAATATTTTATTTTGTCTCATGTTAGTTCATGCTGTAAAATGGGCATATCAGCTTGTTTACCGATTCACGATTACCGCGCAATTGTTTAATTTACTTATGACTATGTCACGACGCGCGCTCCTACTAAATCGCTCGCCCAAATTTTAAGAAAATTCGGTTCAAGATCGGTGTATTTTTGGACGCTGATTCCGAACCACCCCCCATGACGTAGGGTTAAAATGCTTCCCTGGAGAGTTATGGGCAAAAAACCGTTTTGGTCACGTGACAGGCTAGTAAAACGTGAATTCGATTATTTAGGGCTCGGGTTAGGGTAAGGGTTGTGGTTAAGATTATGGATAGCTTTGGGGTTATGGTTAGGGTTAGGGTTGGGATTAGGGTTTATGTAAAACCGTTTTGTACGGCGGCAAAACCAAAAAAACCAAAGTCACGTGAAATTTTTGGGCGAGCGATTTAGTAAGAGCCCACGACGCGACCTGAATGATACAAATAGACCCAATACCCATGTAGTAGAGGCTCTTACGGGCAAAAAGGCGTGTTTTCTGCTACGAGTTTAGAGACCTAACTAAACCGCTAATTGGACACAATAGTATGATGTCTAAGGATCGATAACATGTTAAGAAGTATAGATTTGGCCTTATTAGTCACGTGCTATACCAATGCGCGTTTTA